ATTAAAAATCCTACAATGTGATTTTCTGGAATATTTTTTCTCATTTTGTCTGTCATAGTTGATGTGTACCTATGATGAAAATTACAGGCCTCTCTCATCTTTTTAAGTGGGAGAACTTGCACAATTGGTGACTGACTAAATACTTTTTTTCCCCACTGTATATATATATATATATATATATATATATATATCTTTTATACTTCAAGGGGTCTTAAAATTCTAAATCAAATAGTAAAAGGATCCTTGGTATGACCTTCTTAAAACAATTCCATAGAGCTTAGTAGAACCCCCTCCCCCGTCTTAGACAGGGCTTAGACTCTTATGGGTTAAAGAATCCCACAGTAGTACCCAAACAACCTGTCTGTCTTGCTCTCTCTCATTCTCTCGCTCTCTCTCTCACGCTCACGCACACGCACACGCACGCACACACACACACACACACATACACACACACACACACACACACACACACACACACACACACACACACACACACACACACACACACACACACACACACACACACACACACACACACACTGTGCAGTAATCTGAATCCATAGAGCAGATTTAAGTGTGTTAGGTTCTGAACAAACATAGTAAAAACTCAAACGGGCGACTAGAAAAAGCTCAAACCAAGTTTATTCAACCCACTGGGTGCTTCAGATGCGAACACAACATACAAGTCACATATTGATACCTTCCGACGAGGAGTCACCTCCATGTACAGTATGTCTAAGATAAACAATCCTTCTCTGTTGTTCGGCAGAAACTCTTCCTCTTACTGCTATTGCCATGGCCCTGCCTAAGTCTAGGACGCTCATGGGCAGGGAAGTGTGTGTGTATGGGTAGGACTGTAGTCAGATGGTCTTCGGGGTGGGCCCCTACGGCCCCCCTCCCAGCAGTGTCTTCTCTCTTCAACTGTGAACTTTATCTTGAGTTGAGTTCCACGTCCCTCATTGTCTTAGTTCCACAGCAACTGGCCTGCGTTATCAGGAACTGAAACTAGATTGTTGCTCTTTGCCTCCTTCCTTAGAAATATTAATATTCAGCAATAACATGTTTGAACAGAATATGAACGTTCTGCACTTCCCCTTATCTCACTCAGTAACTTTCCATACACAAAGTTCCTATTCACCCTTCATTGATCCCCAGCATATACATTTCTTATACATGTAAAGTAATCAATAAGTTCTAGTATGGTAACATGAATAAGTATATTTCAAGCCAGAATCCAACAAGTGATTCAGTCTACTAGGTGCTCACCCCTCCTCTGCCTCTCTCCATCGCTTTCTCTGTGTCGTCTGTTGCTGTCTCTTAGTATTCTACGTTGCTGTCTCTTGTCTACCCTCTCTCGTCCTGTCCTGGTTGTAAAAAGTGTAAAAGTAAACAGTTGTTTTAATAGTAATTTCACAGGCTTTTTCACCTCACGTGCAAATTCTTTGTAAACCATGTTTTACTTTTTCACTGTCTGTATTTCACCTCTTCTAATTTGTGCAAATAAATACAACTAATTAGAATCTATAGAGCAGCTTGAAGTGATATTCTACTGTGTGCTCAACCCACCTCTGTTCTCTCTCCATCTGCCCTCTTCTGTGTCTTGTCTGTTGCTGTCTGTGTCTTAGCTGTTGTGGTCAAAATCAAATCAAATGTTATTGGTTGTGTACACATATTTTGCAGATGTTATCACAGGTGCAGCGAAATGCTTATGTTTCGAACTCCAACTGTGCAGTATACCTAACAATAGAAAACAATACAGTAAAATCCCCCAAAATGCAAATTAAGAAATTAAGAAATATCAGAACGAGCAATGTCAAAGTCCAGAATATACTGAACAAAAATATAAACCCAACATGTAAAGTGTTGCTCCCATGTTTCATGAGCTGAAATAAAAGATCCCAGAAATTTTCCATATGCACAAAAAGCTTATTTCTCTCAAATTGTGTGCACAAATTTGTTTACATCCCTGTTAGGGAACATTTCTCCTTTGCCAAGATAATCCATCCTCCTGACTGGTGTGGCATATCAAGAAGCTGATTAAACGGCATGATCATTACAGAGGTGCACCTTGTGCTGGGGACAATAGAAGGCCACTCTAAAATGTGCAGTTTTGTCACACAACACAATGCCACAGATGTCCCAATTTATGGGGTATTGTGTGTAGATTGATGAGGGGAAAAAACGATTTAATCAATTTTAGAATAAGGCTGTAACTTAACAAAATGTGGAAAAGTCAAGGGGTCTGAATACTTTCCGAATGCACTGTATATATATTTTACCATCAAAAGGTTTGGGGATTGATCAAAAGCAAACTACATCAAACTCTGCCTCAATATTTGAATTACACAACTTGTTGTGGTAATTATAGCATAATTGCAGAATTTAAAAAATGACTTTTTCTAATTATTGTTGAGACAAGAAAGAACAAACAAGAAAGACGTAAACAAAAGTTAATTGCACCTTTTTATTATAGTTTTGACAATGTTGAAACTATTACAGAGGTATTCATATTGCAAAGCACTTGCAAAGTCTTGTGAGTTGCTAGACATTTATGCCTTAAAACTTGTCCTGTGGTTCAGAAATATATTAAAGATCCCCATTTATTGGAATGACCACACTGATTTCCTCCTTTAAGACAAGCTTCACAGCTCTTCCATATGTTTAGTATGTATTGTTACTCTTGCTAAGGCACTGTGTCTTCCTGGTCATGACATCATGTTATGGTTTCACAGTGAGTCACTCCCATTGATGTACATTACCGGTAAATGTTTTTAGAACACCTACTCATTCAAGGCTTTTCTTTATTTTTACTATTTTCTACATTGTAGAATAATAGTGAAGACATCAAAACTACGCAATAACACAGTAAACAAAAAAAGTGTAAAACAAATCAAAATATATTTTATATTTGAGATTCTTCGAATAGCCACCCTTTGCCTTGATGACAGCTTTGCATAGGGCTATCTTCTGTATACCCCCCTACCTTGTCACAACACAACTGATTGGATCAAACGCATTAAGAAGGAAAGAAATTCCACAAATTAACTTTTATGAAGGCACACCTGTTAATTGAAATGCATTCCAGGTGAGTACCTCATGAAGCTGGTTGAGAGAATGCCAAGAGTGTGCAAAGCTGTCATCAAGGCAAAGGGTGGCTATTTGAAGAATCTCAAATATAACATATATTTTGATTTGTTTAACACTTTTTTGGTTACTACATGATTCCATATGTGTTATTTCATAGTTTTGATGTCTTTACTATTATTCTACAATGTAGAAAATAGTAAAAAGAAAGAAAAACCCTTGAATGAGTAGGTATTCTAAAACATTTGACCGGTAGTGTATATAAACCCTGGATTGAGAATTCTATGTATTTGCCAATGAGAGGCTGTGAAGCCACTGGTCGGCCATATTGGCACTCCCCAGAAGGTGCAGTCCTCCATAGGAATTAATGGAATTCTACAGTATTTCAATTAAATGTTTTAAGGACAAAAGTACATGTATTTAAGTATAAAAAATAAAATGTTTTTAGATGTTTAAATGTTTTATTTCTATGTTTAGCTCCCATAATATAATGTAAAAGTATGCATTAATGTATTTGTAATAGAATAAACGTGTCAAAAACGAATGTAGACATTAATAAATGCATTTCTATAGCTTCCAAAATCATGTTTACAATGGAGGAGGAGTACTAAGAGAGCTGTGTGGTGGCTTCAATACAGCGCCCCCTGTAGGTTTCTTGTTATCCAATTGCGATTTTGTCTCATCGCTGCAACTCCCCAACGGGCTTGGGAGAGGCGAAGGTCGAGTCATGCGTCTGAAACATGACCCAGCAAGCCGCGCCTCTTAACACCCGCCCGCTTAACCCGGAAGCCAGACGCACCAATGTGTCGGAGGAAACATTGTCCAACTGACGACCGAAGTCAGCCTGCAGGCGCCCGGCTCGCCACAAGGAGTTACTAGAGAGTGATGAGCCAAGTAAAGCCCCCCCCGGCCAAACCCTCCCTTAACCCGGACGACGCTGGGTCAATTATGCGCCGCCCTATGGGACTCCCGCTCACGGCCGGTTGTAACACAGCCTGGGATCGAACCCGGGTCTGTAGTGACGCCTCAAGCACTGCAATGCAGTGCAACACTCGGCAGCCCCCCCCCCAAGGGTTTAAACACATCAATGGTCACTCACACCTGCTTTATTGAGGACCAGTTAGTGAGATAAAGTAGTTACACATTTTTTAAATGTTACCTGAAGTTCACAAAAATATGCGCGCACGCACGCTCACTGACTCACACACACACACACACACACACACTCACGGACACACGCACGCACACACACTTACACTGTTTGTAACAGAACCGGATCAAGAGTTTTCCTCATTCATACAGTAGCTTAAAAAAAGGTCAACTCTGGCAGTTATTTCCAGCGCATAATAACATGAAACACTATGAAGAGAGAAGCACACTAGCTCAAATAAAAATGATAGGCATTATATCTATACCAACTTCCAAAATAAATCAAATCAACTTCTTAAAAAGATTTAAACATATTTACAAGAAATCTGTAGACAGACACCAACTAAATAACTTAACAATTTACACAGAGGAGAATTCACCTATAGAAGCAAGGCAAATGTTTCCTAAACCTGAATTATAATCCTTCTCTTTTTTTTTTACCCCTCCACAAAAGATGGAACACTGTCAGAATCTGTCAGCATATTGAATCTAAACGAAAAATGTGTCACCCCGAGGAGTTCAAATGTAGCAAGAGATCCAACCAAATGGTCTACCACTACACTATGTAGTGTTGAAATGAAGCAAGATCTTCCGTCAGAGCTTCCAAAGACTGCTTAGCGTTCCATATTCCAACAGAATGTTCCAGGTTGGTACGTGTTAGTCAGAATACTGAGTGGAGAGACCACTATTCGATGATAGCAAGGTAAAGGCACTGGGGGGGGGGGGGGGGGGGGGGGACACGTTCCACAAGGTCTAGGCACTCGTCAATGACTCAGCAGCCTGAGGCGGGCTAGCCAGCCCCCCAGGATCGAAGTGGGTTCCGAAGGAGGATGTTTGGGAGTAGCAGCAGCAGCAGGGATCACAGTCGTAGCTGGGGAATTTTTGGATGATGCCTCCCGGTATGGGATGGTGGTGCTGTTGTGCAGGTCAGCATTGATGAAGCACTGGGAGCCCCTGATGTGGTCGACGCCACGGATCAGCTGGCCAGACCGCCCCTCCAGGGGTCTGTAGGGTAGGGGAAAGCACGGGGCCTCCTCAGAGATGGTGGCGATCCGCTCGTTACTTAGGTATCTGTGAATGATGTCCTCTCCTGTAGGGGAAAACAGACAGACAGACGGGCATCTAAATCAATCAATCAATCAATCAATCAAATGTATTTTATAAAGCCCTTTTTACATCAGCACTTACACAACACCTGTCGAACCCTCTCTGTTCAAGGTTAAGTCAGTCTAAGAAGGAGTTGAGACCATAATCAACAGTGGTTATGCTGTGGCTTACCCCAAAGTTAATGAACAACTACTTAAGAATTGAAGGCACGCAGTCCGAGCTGGCCTCAGTTTGTTCTGCAGAGTAAATAAGCCTGTGAAATGGCCATTCTGATAACAGTAGATTAGCCTGAGTTAGGTTCTGTCCCAAATGGTACCCTCCCAGCTAGCACATAACGTTCTGAGAGCCATATGTTTCTTATAAGTCGGTGAGAGCATGGTTGTCCAATGGTTATTTTGCATTCAACCTTCCCACAATGTTCTGGGAATGGTGCAGGATACCCAGCTAGCACATAACGTTCTGAGAAGCATATGTTTCTTATGTGGGAATTTCAATACTTCAGCATAACGTTTCCTACAGGTTTCCTCATGGTTCTATTTAAAGTCATGTTCTCAAATTGTTCAGAGAATGTTAAGAAAGAAACAACGTACTTCTGTGTGAATTTCAGTACTTCAGCATAACGTTTTATACAGGTTTCCTCATGGTCCTATTGAAAGTCATGTTCCCAGAACGTTCAGAGAATGTTAAGAAACAATGTTCTTCTGTGGGAATTTCAGTACTTCAGCATAACGTTTTCTACAGGTTTCCTCATGGTTCTATTGAAAGTCATGTTCCCAGAACGTTCAGAGAATGTTAAGAAACAATGTTCTTCTGTGGGAATTTCAGTACTTCAGCATAACGTTTTCTACAGGTTTCCTCATGGTTCTATTGAAAGTCATGTTCCCAGAACGTTCAGAGAATGTTAAGAAACAATGTTCTTCTGTGGGAATTTCAGTACTTCAGCATAACGTTTTCTGCAGATTTCCTCATGGTCCTATTTAAAGTCATGTTCTCAGAACATTAAGAAAACTTTCCATCAAAAAACCCAAGAAAACATTAGTATCGTTCAAAGAACGTTCTAAGAATGTTATTTAAAAACATATACATTCCGTTCTCAACATCAACAAAACTCTATCCTGTTAAGTGTGTTCAGGTGTGTTGGCCGCGCCCACTGATTGGCCACACCTGATCTTAATGAATGCTTGTTTACTTTGAAATGGGGTCTGTTTGAATAGAATAAAATGAACAGCTTTGTATGAGTTTAAAAAACATGGCACGATAGCGCCATCCTGGTGGTGCAGTGGACTAGTTCCATGGATAGAGAACAGAAGATCATAGATTTGAATCTCACTGATGCCGTGCCACAATAAAAAAGAATGTGTTTGCATAATTAATACCTAAGCAAATGAATATCCATGTGTCCTATCTGTGCTTGGTGTTTAAAACAGTTAACCCCAACTAAGCTAGCAGTGTTATTAAAAGTTTTATCGAAACATGTTCTCAGAACGTTATTAAATAACCTATAACTTCTGTTCTCAGAACGTTAATAAAACCTCCCTTGAAATCTTTCAGGGAACCATTGTAAAATGTTCTCAGAACTTCCCTTTAACCTAAAAATTAACGTTCCCTGAACAGGCAACATTTTCACTTCCGTTCTCAAAACGTACAAAAAAAACATTCAGATTTACCGGTCAGGAAACGTATGGCTTCGTTCCCAGAACCAATGGGAAGCCAAAAACGTACATTCCCACAACTTCCAAGGAACCAAATGTGCTAGCTGGGCTATTCCCTAAATAGTGCACTACTCATATGTATTGAACTATTTAGGGAATTTGGTGCCATTTGGGACACATCATTAGTTACTGCGCTGCTTTGTTTTGGCTGTGTTTCAACCAGGCAGGTGTACTGTAGCTGTAGTATGCTTACCTTTCCTCCCTTGAGGCCAGGGTCTGGAGGACGAATCAGACATGCCCAGACACGAGTCTACAGGCATGGACAGGGGCCGCGGTTTACCTGTAAAGTAGAGTAAAAATATTCTGTAATTACTACTTATGCCAATATCAATCTTTCTGAATGGAACAGAATAAATAAAAGTCAGCGAAATGGGCACAGAATGCAACACTGATTAACTGGGGAAAAGTGTCTCAACTAGCACATAATGTTGTGAGAACCATATATTTCTTAGAGCTTGGTGAGAGCGTGGTTGTTCTATGGTTATTTTGCATACAGCCTTACCACAACATTCTGGGAATGGTGCAGGATATTTGCTTGGCTTTGGAACATTCTCTGCACATTTAAGGAACTTGACAAAATAACATAATTTTCTTGGTATTTCATTACTTTAACAAAACGTTTCCTAAAAGTTCAAACATGGTTACATTTAATTACATTTTTCCCAATCTTCTAGGAACGTTCTCCAACTGGTTTGACATTGGGAATGTTCCCAAATACTGTAGTTCAGAGAATGTTAAGAAACAACGATCTTCTGTGAGAATTTCAGTACTTCAGCATAATGTTTTCTACAGATTTCCTCATCGTTGAATTTAAAGTTGAATTTAGAGTTACACATTTCCAAACCCGGTCTCAGGCTTGGATAACACTGGAGGCCCCTTCGGTCTCCACAGAGTTGGGTAAAGCTGCTTTTAGTTTTTTAGCGCCCATAATGTGGAACAACTTACAGAGAACAACTTGCAGAGTAATGATCGGAGACCTCTATGTTGATAAATGTGTCTGTTTTTAATTGTTTTATATTGTATATGTTTGTTTGCATTTATGCAGGGCTCATCTGTAAAAGAGACCCTAATCTCAGTATAACTTCCCTGTCAAAATAAAGTTCCAATATATACAGTATATACATATTTTTTAACGTACATAGAAAGTTCTAAAAATGTTATTTAAAAACATATACAGTACCAGTCAAAAGTTTGGACACACTTACGCATTCAAGGGGTTTTCTTTATTTTTACTATTTTCTACATTGTAGACTAACAGTGAAGACATCAAAACTATGAAATAACACATAAGGAATCATGTAGTAACCATAAAAGTGTTTAAAAAAATCAAAATATATTTGATATTTGAGATTCTTCAAATAGCCACCCTTTGCCTTGATGACAGCTTTGCACACTCTTGGCATTATCTCAACCAGCTTCATGAGGTACTCACCTGGAATGCATTTCAATTAACAGGTGTGCCTTCATAAAAGTTAATTTGTGGAATTTCTTTCCTTCTTAATGCGTTTGATCCAATCAGTTGTGTTGTGACAAGGTAGGGGGGTATACAGAAGATAGCCCTATGCAAAGCTGTCATCAAGGCAAAGGGTGGCTATTCGAAGAATCTCAAATATAAAATATATTTTGATTTGTTTTACACTTTTTTGTTTACTGTGTTATTGCGTAGTTTTGATGTCTTCACTATTATTCTACAATGTAGAAAATAGTAAAAATAAAGAAAAGCTTTATTTAACTAGGCAAGTAATCTTGTCAGTTAAGAACAAATTCTTATTTACAATGACGGTCTACTTTTGACTGGTACTGTACATTCCGTTCTCCGCGTTAACAAAACACTCTATATCCTCTATCTTGTTAAGTGTGTTCACGTCTGTTGGCCACGCCCACTAATTGGCCACAGCTGATCTTAATAAGTGCTTGAAGCTCAGTTGGTAGAGCATGGCGCTTGCAACGCCAGGGTTGTGGGTTCGTTTCCCACGGGGGGCCAGTATGAAAAAATAAAAATTATGCACTCACTAACTGTAAGTCGCTCTGGATAAGAGTCTGCTAAATGACAAAAATGTAAATGTTGAAAGGGGTCAGCTTTGTGTGAGTTTGTATGAGTTAAAAAAACATGCTAGCCAAACAAATATTTTCCCCGCGCTACAAGTGGCTATATTGGTCCACTAATACAGGACTAGTAAAGACCCAGTGCACTACTTTTGTGAAAAATATATTAATATTAATATTTGTTTAGAATTCCGATTTTCCAGGGGATGCTGCAGCACCCTCAGCATCCCTACTTCCCACGGCTCTGGTGCTAGCTCCATCCATGCTGCAGCACCCTCAGCATCCCTACTTCCCACGGCTATGGTGCTAGCTCCATCCATGCTGCAGCACCCTCAGCATCCCTACTTCCCACGGCTATGGTGCTAGCTCCATCCTGGTGGCGCAGCGGACTAATTCCATGGATAGAGAACAGAAAATGCTAGGTTTGAATCTCACTGATGCCGTGCCACAATAAAAAAGAAATGTGTTTGCAGGATTAATGCCTAAGCAAATGAATTTCAATTGCAGTGTTATTAAAAGTATTATTGAAACATTCAGTGAAATTTATTCTAAAACCTTCAAATAACCTTTACAATTCATTCAAAACATTCACAACATTTAGAGAATGCTCTCAAAACTTTATTTAATTACCTTCAAATAACCCATAATTTCCGTTCTTAGAAGATTAATAAAACCTCCCAGTAAAACATTCAGGGAACCATAGTAAAACATTCTCAGAAACTCCCTGCAACCTAAAATGTAAGTTCCCAGAACAGGCAAAATCTTCACTTCCGTTCTCAGAATTTTAAAACACGTTCCGTTTTAGCAGTCAGGAAACGTATGGCTTCATTCCCAGAAGCAATGGGAAACCAAAAATGTACGTTCCAACTAGTGGTGCGCGGGTCAGCTGTTTGTTCACCCGCTCCCGCCGGCAATCGCTAATAACGCATCCATAACTGCCAAATGTATGTGATAAAGTGAAAATCTGAGGCCCGCACCCGACCCTAACCCACAGATACAGTGGGGAAAAAAAGTATTTAGTCAGCCACCAATTGTGCAAGTTCTCCCACTTAAAAAGATGAGAGAGGCCTGTAATTTTCATCATAGGTTCACGTCAACTATGACAGGCAAAATGAGAAAAAAAATCCAGAAAATCACATTGTAGGATTTTTTATGAATTTATTTGCAAATTATGGTGGAAAATAAGTATTTGGTCAATAACAAAAGTTTCTCAATACCTTGTTGTATACCCTTTGTTGGCAATGACAGAGGTCAAACGTTTTCTGTAAGTCTTCACAAGGTTTTCACACACTGTTACTGGTATTTTGGCCCATTCCTCCATGCAGATCTCCTCTAGAGCAGTGATGTTTTGGGGCTATCGCTGGGCAACATGGACTTTCAACTCCCTCCAAAGATTTTCTATGGGGTTGAGATCTGGAGACTGGCTAGGCCACTCCAGGACCTTGAAATGCTTCTTACGAAGCCACTCCTTCGTTGCCCGGGCGGTGTGTTTGGGATCATTGTCATGCTGAAAGACCCAGCCACGTTTCATCTTCAATGCCCTTGCTGATGGAAGGAGGTTTTCACTCAAAATCTCACGAAACATGGCCCCATTCATTCTTTCCTTTACACGGATCAGTCGTCCTGGTCCCTTTGCAGAAAAACAGCCCCAAAGCATGATGTTTCCACCCCCATGCTTCACAGTAGGTATGGTGTTCTTTGGATGCAACTCAGCATTCTTTGTCCTCCAAACACGATGAGTTGAGTTTTTACCAAAAAGTTCTATTTTGGTTTCATCTGACCATATGACATTCTCCCAGTCCTCTTCTGGATCATCCAAATGCACTCTAGCAAACTTCAGACGGGCCTGGAGATGTACTGGCTTAAGCAGGGGGACACGTCTCGCACTGCAGGATTTGAGTCCCTGGCGGCGTAGTGTGTTACTGATGGTAGGCTTTGTTACTTTGGTCCCAGCTCTCTGCAGGTCATTCACTAGGTCCCCCCGTGTGGTTCTGGGATTTTTGCTCACCGTTCTTGTGATCATTTTGACCCCACGGGGTGAGATCTTGCGTGGAGCCCCAGATCGAGGGAGATTATCAGTGGTCTTGTATGTCTTCCATTTCCTAATAATTGCTCCCACAGTTGATTTCTTCAAACCAAGCTGCTTACCTATTGCAGATTCAGTCTTCCCAGCCTGGTGCAGGTCTACAATTTTGTTTCTGGTGTCCTTTGACAGCTCTTTGGTCTTGGCCATAGTGGAGTTTGGAGTGTGACTGTTTGAGGTTGTGGACAGGTGTCTTTTATACTGATAACAAGTTCAAACAGGTGCCATTAATACAGGTAATGAGTGGAGGACAGAGGAGCCTCTTAAAGAAGAAGTTACAGGTCTGTGAGAGCCAGAAATCTTTCTTGTTTGTAGGTGACCAAATACTTATTTTCCACCATAAATTAGAAATAAATTAATAAAAAATCCTACAATGTGATTTTCAGGATTTTTTTTTCTCAATTTGTCTGTCATAGTTGACGTGTACCTATGATGAAAATTACAGGCCTCTCTCATCTTTTTAAGTGGGAGAACTTGCACAATTGGTGGCTGACTAAATACTTTTTTTCCCCACTGTATAGAAAATGTGCTGTAGGATACAGTCAGAGATAGCGGAAAGATTGTTTGACAGGGTGTGCAGGAAGAGTTTTTGCCTAATTTAGATATGTTTCTGCTTATAATTTCCAACATTTTGGTAGGCTATTTGTTAGTCAACTACAATTAGATACAGCCAGCTTCTCTTCTGTCATTATATGTTGCCCCAGAAGACTAAATAAACCCTTGTTTACCAGAATAATGTCATACATGATAGAATGAAGCGTCAATCTAGTTAACATTGGTCAAGTTTTCTCTGTCATCTCTGCTTCTTTCACGGAGCAAAGACATTTAGGGACCGGGGAGAAAATGCAATAACCCCCCCAAAAATGGGAAAGATTTTCAGTGCAAGATTTGGCATCAGTTTGATCGGTTGTAAGGAAATAGAATGCTGTGAAAATGACCCAACATGTTTCTGATAAGATTTCTGAAATACTATCAGCTTTTAGGATGCTGATAAAGATAGCACCTCTACAGACGGTCCCTAACTGCGCATTCACATTCTCTCAAGATGCTGAAATAAATAAATCATATTTCTCCACTCCTGTTTCGGAGTCAAAATGTACATTTGGTGTATCATTTTACTGCAAGAAATGCTTAATCCTGCAGTAGTTAATATTAAGACTATTTGAAAGGTTATACTATAGACCTACAGTCTGTGTCCAGATTTCAGTTTCCATTTAACATTTCCATTTTAGTCATTTAGCAGACGCTCTTATCCAGAGCGACTTACAGTTAGTGAGTGCATACATTATTATAATTTTTTTCATGGGAATCGAACCCACAACCTTGGCGTTGCAAACGCCATGCTCTACCAACTGAGCTACATCCCTGCCGGCCATTCCCTCCCCTACCCTGGGCCAATTGTGCGCCGCCCCATGGGTCCCCTGGTCGACAGAGCCTGGAACCTAACTGAACCTAACTGAACAGTAGGCTACAGTTCCCTTGACGTGCCATAAGCCTATTTGAAGTCCCCGTCATATGACTGTCAAATGTGTATAGCGCCTCACAATCATCACACATAACATAGAAACTGCTATCATCCTCTTTTACCACTTCACCAAATCGTTCCCAAATCCTCCCTTCTCTTTATTTTCAACTCTCCATTTCACAGCTTTTCTCTTATTGAATTAAACTCCGACATTGTCCTTTTTGCCTAACTTTTTCTTCCAGTTCCCAAAAGCTTATGGCGATTGGCGTGTAGGCTATTTGGTACCCGTAAAGCTAGGCATACGCACTAATACCAGATAGCCAAAAAATTATGAAAGAAAAACCTCAATGTAGCCTATAGATATAAATTGCACAAGAATTATACATTTGAATGTATTGTTTTCTCTTTATTCAACCCGTCCACCTTTCATCCACATAATATTTCATGACCCTAAACCCTCCGGCCCCGTGAATATAACCGTGGGACTGCGAGTTATGAGTCAACCTGCGTGTCACTAGTTCCCACAACTTCCAAGGAACCAAATGTGCTAGCTGGGGTGTTTGTTTGTGTTTGTTTGTGTGTGCGCGTGTGTGTGCGCGTGCATGTGTGTCTGTTATGGTACTGACCCCGTGTGGAGGTCCGTTGTCTCAGGCGGGATACTGGGGCTGGTTGGGCTGGTTGGATGTTGGGCTCAGGGGGAAGACAGACTGTAATCTTGCTGTCATAGTCTGCGATGGTGAAGCGTCGTCTACCTTCATCCAGGAAGGAGTAAGGAGACTGAGAACCCTTTGGTCTCAGTTTGACACTCTCACTCACTTTAGGCTTCCCATCCCTTTGATGAGCGGTATATGAGGTGGAAAAGAAGAGAAATGTCAAGGTCAGCTAACAGAGCACTAATATGAATTCCAGACGAGGCTGGTGGGAGGAGCTATTTATTCAATTTATTCAAATGTATTACAATGAGCCCGTCCTCCTATAGCTCATCCCACCAGTCTCCTCTGATAAATTCAATGGTGGGGTACAAAGACAGAGACAGACAGACAGACTGAATAACTGACTGACTGACTCAGACACTCACCGTGGGGTGTAGGGGACAGTGGGGGGAGGAGGGATAAACAGGTCCAGATTGGTCTGCTTCTCTTTCTTCATGAGGGCTTCTGAGAGGACATGTTTTGGAGACTGGATCTTGGGCATACTGGGGGCACTCTAATACACAAAACAAAATACTTGTTTTTAGAAGATAGATCTTACAAAAATGTTGTCAAATAAAGTAACTTATGCCCTGGGCAGAGATATGTGTGAAATGTGTGAGGCAGCTTAGCTGTTAAAACCAGAGAACATTCTCTACAAGTACACTGTATCAGCTAAATGAAACAATACCATTACGTAATATGGCCTTATTTCTAATTAAGCTAACTTCTGTTTGGTAAATCCACCAATAGTGGCCTGGTTCAGTATGACTGTGAGGACCTGAGACCTAGCGAGGACACACTACACTTAGCAGACTTATTACACAACAAGGGTCTTTAATTGCTTCCTGCCCACTTCAGAGGTTCTCAACTCTTTCCCAAGGACCAATATTGTCCCTAACGCAGGAATAAAGTCCTTTTTGGATTACTGTAATTACATAAACAGATCTAAAAGGCTTTACAGGGTCCATGGAATACTTTTTGTGTTCGTCTGTTTCAAAACCCATGTGTGACCTTTTGTAAGGTCTGGGTGGAGTGTAACCTCTAACGGTGAACTAAGAGATGAGGTGTAGACAATCAGGGATTGGTAAGACTCTTAAACTAGAGACCTCTCTGGACTCGAAGATTAGAGGGTATTCAGGGCACACTGACTTTTAAGCACTATGCAATCTATTAAAACACACATCCTGAACAGGTTCAAAGCCTATTAGGTCACATTAGACCCATTGTCTCTGTGAACATGAGTCACCTTCAAAACATGTCTGACATCAATACATGCTTGGACTTTGTGCTATTTATTTTTTTTAAGAAAGAGGGGAAGAAGGGATTCATTGTTCACCCTTACAACCCACCCAGTGGAAGACGCAACCTGGGTGGCTGAGAAACTGAGGAATTTGTCCTCTCTTGTCAAACCCCACCAAAAAGAAACAGATCTGGGATATCAAACACACACATTTCACACCTATGATGACAGATTCAGAATAAAAAAATCCAGAATTGATTAAACACTAGGATATCAAGGGTGATAAGGGGAGATGGGTCTACCTGCACTACAGGTGTTCTTCAATCAAACTGTGTGTGTGTGATAGGGATTTACCTGCACTAGGGGGGGCCTCCAGCGCATGTTCTTCAGGGGGGCCGGGGTGAAGCTACAGGTCCCCGAGGGCCTCTTCTTCACCACAAGACTAACGCCTGCGGTGTCCGCCTTCAGCTTACCCACCAGGTTCTTCAGCTGCCAGCCCACCTGGAGACACCACAGAACAAACAGATAGGACAGCTCGTCAGACACAGCCAACATCACAACCCTCATCATCACGACTATCAACAGACCCATCACAACAGATTCTATCTGCAACTGTACTCTCATGCTGCAATGAAATGAGCTATCATCTGCCTAGCGTTCTTGTTGGGCAAGATTAAACAAAAACCAGAGATCTCTCTCGCCCCTGTGTAAGTGGTACAATAGATCAATAGGGGGTAGTGAAGAAGAAGAACTACCTACCACTGTCTGCTTGTTGACCTGGATGACCTCGTCTCCAGCGTGGATCCTGTGTGTTCTGTCTGCCGGAGACTGGAGGACAGAGGGTGATATATAGAGGATGAGCATATAGACATCACAGGAGTTCATTCACCCTGACTGGGTCACTCCAGACCATCTTGGACTACTACTATCAGAACGGATTGGATACTCACATGTTCTGTGGTTCCAGTGATGACGTGAAGCCCATCGTAGGTGGATTTGATATACATCCCCTGAGAAGATACAGGACAACATAACATTTACAGTTAAGTCATTTAGCAGATGCTCTTATCCAGAGCGACTTACAGGAGCAATTAGGGTTAAGCGCCTTGCTCAAGTACACATCGACAGATTTTTCACCTAGTCGGCTCGGGGATTAGAACCAGCGACCTTTCGGTTACTGGCACAACGCTCTTAACCACTAAGCTACCTGCCACCCCAGGAAGAAGCAATCAATCTCAGAGACTGAGAAATCAAACAGTACATCTAGCTTGGGCTGATCATGTAAGAATTGTCTCTAATTTGAAGTAGAAGTCTGCTTTGTATATGGAACCCTGATCCCTATGGGCCCTGGTCAAAAGTAGTACACTATATAGGGTATAGGGTGCCACTTGGGACGCATGCTAACTCTTCTCACCAGTCCTTCTCCAGGTCTGATGTTGGTGATGTGGACCTCCTCCAGACAGGCCATCTGACTCTTGTGAGGGTCGGAAGTCATCCTCATCGTCTGCTCACAGATCACGTTCAGAGCCACAGACTGGAATGGAAAATATAACAGAATACACTCAGCTACAATGTCTCATAACACCAATAGATTTCACTGGACTGGGAAATAACCATTGTCGTTGTAATCTCGTTCACTAGACACTGCCTCCCAATGTATGCGCAATTAGCCTGGGGACAAGGTTATGGTTCTTGTAATGGTTATGGTTCGGTGTGGTGGATCTCTGGTGTGTGGTCATGCATGGAGCTAAGATTCAGGAGAGGGGAGGAACAGACTGTAGTCACATGTTAGTGCTAATGACTGGATTGGCTAATGGCTGATAATGACTGGGGTTCTTTCAAGAGACATTTAAGCATGGGTGTTACTTTGCCTTCTGCTTGTATCTCTGTACACTGCACTCATTTAATTCAATTTGGTTATTTTCCACAAGGTATGTGGTACATTATTTTGCTTTGGATTCGTCTTCTGATAAAAATTTGTCATAGGAACTTCAGTTGCGCCACAAGGTGCCACTTATTATAAATCCTAATTTCATCAGATGGGTAGGGTCTCCTACAAGTCATGATGTCATAACGTTGTCATTACTTATGTGGGGCTGTAGTTTGGATCTTGAAAACAAAGGGAGGTGTTTGTTCCTAGAGAACGCTACAGAACACTGAGGCCTGACACAGACCACGGAAGTCAGACAAAGACTTGCATAAGCATTGTACAACTTGGCAGTAAACAGCATAGCATGGGAGGCTGAGGTGATACATCGGGTCAGGCTCAGCGGGAAACTGCAGATAATCTAAACTAAAATTATCACTTGGTTAACCTCTTAAGGATCGGACCCTTTTTTCCAATTTTCACCTAAAATGACATACCCAAATCTAACTGCCTGTAGCTCAGGACCTGAAGCAAGGATATGCATATTCTTGATTCCATTAGAAAGGAAACACTTTGAAGTTTGTGGAAATGTGAAATTAATGTAGGAGAATATAACACATTAGATCTGGTAAAAGATAATACATTAGATCTGGTAAAAGATAATACAAACAAAGAAACACGCATTTTTAAAATTTAGTTTTTTTCATCATCAAGAGAAAGGTCACAATATAATATTGCAGTTTAGGCTCAATTTAGATTTTGGCCACTAGATGTTTCAGATTGATCCAGTGAATCATTGCAATGCTGGACTATTTTGTATGAAGTCTGCCCAAATGTGCCGAATTGGTCAATTGATACATTTTCAAGTACACAACTATAGAGAACATACAAAAATGATATGGTAATACAACATGTAAGTTCACACACTCCCAGGAATGTCATACATGATGGATCATTAGCTTATACACTAACTTTCACACATCTAGATGCCCGGGCGGGGTGGGTGTGGAGCCAGACTGTAGAACCCAATTCCTATATTTGAATATAAAAACTATGCTACATTTTATCTCTGGGACCCTCAGAATGACAAATCAGAGCAAGATTACTGAATGTAAGTACATTATTTACCTTCAGAGGTGAATGTATCAAACCAGTTGCCGTGATACGTTTTTTGTTGTTACGCACTCTCCTCAAACAACAGCATGTTTCTTTTTCACTGTAATAGCTACTGTAAATTGGACAGTGCAGTTAGATTAACAAGAATTTAAGCTTTCTGCCCATATAAGACATGTCTATGTCCTGGAAAGTTTGCTGTTACTTACAACAGTCATGCTAATCACATTAGCACATGTTAGCTCAACCGTCCAGTGTACGGGACACCGATCCCGTAGAGGTTAATGAAGTTTTTAGCTGAACGAAATGTCCCTCAGGCAGGGTTATCTAACACAGGATGTGGAAACAGGGCTTCTGTGGACCATCACGGAACTGGGATACCTCCCAAATGGCACCCTATTCTCTATGTAGTGCACTCCTTTTGACCAGGGCCTATAGGGTCAAAAATAGTGCACTATATAGGGAATAGGGTGCCATTTGGGACACAGCTCTGAAATGTATAAACAAAGCCCTACACCCATACAGGAACACAGCACACATCACAAGGATCACCGTGAACGGGAAGTGCGTGTTTGTTTGTGTGTGTGTGTGTTTGTATGTGTGTGTGTGTGCTTCCCCACAAGAATAGTAAACAAACTCAAATTTGACCAATTGGGGACATTTTGTTAGTCCCCACAAGGTCAAATGCTATTTCTAGGGGGTTTAGGGTTAAGGTTAGAACTAGTGTTAGGGTTAGAATTAGGTTTAGGGTTAGGAGCTAGGGTTAGTTTTAGGGTTAGAGGTTAAGGTTTAGGGTTAAGGTTAGGTTTTGGGGTTAAGGTTAGAGTTAGGGTTAGGCTTAGGGTACGGGTTAGAGTAGGGTTAGGTTTAGGATTAGGGGTTAAGGAAAATAGGATTTTAAATGGGACTGAATTGTGTCCCCACAAGGTTAGTTATACAAGACTGTGTGTGTATGCATGCGTGTGCTTCCTGTGTGTGTCTCTCTGTGTGTGTGTGCATATGTACGTGCATGCCTGTGTGTACTGTATGCGTGTGTGTGCTTCCTTGCATGTGTGCCTGTGTGAATATCTGTGTGCGTTGAGTTTATTTTGAAGCTCCAGGGCTGAACCGGTAAACAGAGTCCAAACCAGAGATAAAAAGAGGAACCATTACTTACTACTTCTAGTATCTTCTCCTCCATCTCATAAACTGTGCAGTCCTGCAATTAAGGACAGAAGTATATTTGAGAATATGTTACAGTAAAAACACTCAAGCTGTGTCCCTCTGAGGCAAACAAAGATACACAACACCAGTGGTGGACCAATATTTGTCAAATTAAACACTGGGGACTGAAACCAAACAGGAATCCAAATATACAGGACGATGCGTCTTGTGGGCACTTAAATAACAACTCCCTATAAACAGTGTGACAAGAAGATTGCATGACAGTTCTTAACTACAGGGAGTAGTGCTGCTCCCACTCTGTATCCTATTCCCTATTTAGTGCACTACTTTTGACCAGGACCTTATGGACTCTGGTCAAAGGTAGTGCACTATATAGGGAAAAGGGTGCCATTTGGGACACAGGCTCTATCCTTCACTATGGGTTTGGTGGAAGACAGCAAAATTGGGCTACTAAGCACGTTTTGATCTTTCCTCCTTCCACGTGCTGCTGGTGGAGGTCAGTGGAAACATATGTGCTTTAAACCGTCAATGGTCCTGCTCTTATTACATCCTGTGGTGTGTGTCTGAATGGGGCACACCTTCAGCTAACACTTCCTATTTGAACTCCACCTCAATGTGTAATAGAACAAATGAAGTAGGCTCTCTCGTGCAGGATTTTTAAGGTCTCCTTTGACCGACATTATTGCCTTAGAAGTTATTGTAAGATGGGCTACCTTTGAAACCACAGAGAATTTTCGCAGAGATGTTTTGCTTTTACATGCCTTAAAAAAGCAGACTTTTTTGGTTCGCAGAATGTTCATGAGAGGGGCTCTGTGTGTATTTGTGTGTTGACTACTAGCATGAAAGAAATGTACTGAGGGGGCAAGATCCATCATGCTAATTTCTCAAACCCACAAAAGTAGTTACCTTAGAGTCTTCTCAAAGTCCTACGAAACCTCATGAGAGTGAATAGTGATGATTAGAGAACAAACCTTCTGAACGGTGGAGGTGAGCTCCAGACACAGCTGAATGATCCGGTTCTTAGTGGAGGTGAAGTCACTGATCCCTGTCAGAGGAGTCCTGTCATAGAGACAGACCAGAGGAGAGACAGGAGTCAGTCGACTCCATAACTCACACCACAGATAGGGCTGTTACAGTGAACGTATTACTGTCACACCGGCGGTCACAAGTCATGAGCGCTGTCAAATTCCATGTGACCGTTTAGTCACGGTAATTAGGCTTCTCCAAGCTCTGATGCTGCTGATGGTCATTAGTAGCCTACCAAACTTGCTAACTGCCTGGTACTCAGCACTCTATTGTCCCTCTAATCACTCTGACATCAATGCAAATGTTTTTGAAAATCAAATCAATCGCTTCATGAGAGCCCATAAGCTCATGTTGCGCAACATTACTATAGGCTATGCAGTTGCGTGAGAAAACAGAGTTTTGATGGCCTCTATTAAAAAGAGGAGGACCCCATCAGCTTTCTATAGGCAATTTATCAACTTTCCTAATATTTTGCACATTGATTTGCTTTACAACAGGAGTATAGCCTACCTGGCTGGCATGAAAATGAACCACAGGAAAAGCATCCTCCATTCACTATTTAAGTGCATAGATGACATGTATTTTTTTCCCCCTGCCCCTGTTTCGAGACAGGTGCATAATAATGGTCCATTCTAAATCAAAACTAATTTCACACATATATTATTTAGTATATGTAAAGACAACATTAAATTAAGAATAGTCTGATTGGTAACAATATTAGCCTTTCACTTGTGAATGATGTATTATCACTTGTGAATGATGCCCAGCATGTGCAGTAAGGCCCAAAAAATAATTAAGCACATTAATCCGCTTTACAATCGGTGTAGAGCCTAAGAGACAATTTAAACTTGATCTGAAAATGTTGTCGGAGGCGCCGTATGGATGGTGTGACGCAATTGCGGAGCCTCCGGAGGCACGCAGAGGACAAATTGAGCTCAGTACCGCATCGCCGTGCGCCTCTCAAATTGTTTTACAATGTGGAGGGCTCCGTATAGCTCCGCATTGACATGATTGGTGGACAGTAGGTGTGGGCAGGAGGTCCTGTATAAACACAAACTCACTTCCTTGACAACTTCCTTCACAACAGCTCTGCGCTGCTCGGTGAAGCGCAGGAAGTATGAATACCTTGATTCCTGCTGAGGCCATATCACCGTAAATGCTGCATGGCCAATGCAGACGTCGGATTGACCCGATGGGTCTATCTTCACTTGTAGCCTACTTCTTAGTTGAGATGCCTGCGAGAAGGACCCGATCACATGACGAGCATTGGCTAATAAGAATTTAGATATCTGAGAGAGCTATGTAAGTGAGAGGTGCTTCTGAGCACGGCAGCCGGGAGATGGGAATTATAATTATTATATTCAGCCCAAGGGCACATGGCCACTTTAGCCACAAAAGGAATGGATGTATTAGGGGGCATTATGGCCAGACAAGGGGGATGCCACCGGGAAATTCTAGGCCTGGTGAGAATATTATCAAGTACTTGTCAAATTGTGAATGAGAGACTGATGAAGTGTGTGCAGCCTGCACAAGTAACAAATCAGAGCTCATGCCTTTCATGCAACTTTTTTCAAATCATCATTTGAGTCGCATCATGCAGCCTTAGAAGGTATAAAAAATCTAAATATATAGCCCAACATTTGTATCACAACTAACGTTGCATAAATAACTCTAAATTAAGCATATAGGAGGACCTGTTTCTTTGTTAACCGCTCAACACAGAATAACCGCATGTGCGCACTTCCTAGGAAATCTTTTGGAGAAAATATCCTTTCCATTTTATTCAGCTATGTTCAATTATCTTCTTCATACTATAAAATAATAAAAAATTATGCCACGGAATTCAAAGCAAATTTTGTCTGCTAAATTTACTAGTGTAGCCCACAGCCATATGGCATAGCCATATCAGAGCCTAACATAAGGACAACTCAGAGTATGCTATTCTGTTTTTCTGAAATAGAATACATGTTCTTCATATCGTGTTTCTTTAGACCTGTCTAAAATAAATAATGGATTTACTGTGATGGTGTAGGCTATATTAAATGGATTTATTAGACTTTTTTAAATGTTATGACCGCCACTGCCCTAACCACAGACAAACACATTAAACTCACTCCAGTTAAAACAAGTAATACAGGAATCCTCTCAATGCGTGTACAAACATAACAATATCAGCCATACCAGAGAAGAGACAGGATGGATAATGTAGTAATACCCAACAGTAGGTGTTAGAAACACGGATAACAATACCAGGTGCAATTATGGAAGCGGATATGACAATTCTGTATACTGTATCTGTATATTCTGTATAATCATTCATGAGTGTTGCTGTGTGACAGGTGCACTAAAAAACATCTAAATGTCTCCAAAGAAAAACAATTGATTTTCAATTATTGTTGTTTGTATGATGATAAGTGTTTTTACTCGTCATGTACAGTTGAAGTCAGAAGTTTACATACACCTTAGCCAAATACATTTAAACTCAGTTTTTCACAATTCCTGACATTTAATCCTAGTAAAAATTCCCTGTCTTAGGTCAGTTAGGATCACCACTTTTATTTTAAGAATGTGAAATGTCAGAATAATAGTAGCGAGAATGATTATTTTAGCTTTTATTTCTTTCATCACATTCCCAGTGGGTCAGAAGTTTACATACACTCAATTACTATTTGGTAGCATTGGCTTTAAATTGTTTAACTTGGGTCAAACGTTTCGGGTAGCCTTCCACAAGCTTCCCACAATAAGTTGGGTGAATTTTGGCCCATTCCTCCTGACAGAGCTGGTGTAACTGAGTCAGGTTTGTAGGCCTCCTTGCTCGCACACGCTTTTTCAGTTCTGCCCACACATTTTCTATAGGATTGAGGTCAGGGCTTTGTGATGGCCACTCCAATACCTTGACTTTGTTGTCCTTAAGCCATTTTGCCACAACTTTGGAAGTATGCTTGGGGTCATTGTCCATTTGGAAGACCCATTTGCGACCAAGCTTTAACTTCCTGACTGATGTCTTGAGATGTTGCTTCAATATATCCACATCATTTTCCTTCCTCATGATGCCATCTATTTTGTGAAGTGCACCAGTCCCTCCTGCAGCAAAGCACCCCCACAGCATGATGCTGCCACCCCCGTGCTTCACGGTTGGGATGGTGTTCTTCGGCTTGCAAGCACCCCCTTTTTCCTCCAAACATAACGATGGTCATTATAGCCAAACAGTTCTATTTTTGTTTCATCAGACCAGAGGACGTTCCAAAAAGTACGATCTTTGTCCCCATGTGCAGTTGCAAACCGTAGTCTGGCTTTTTTATGGCAGTTTTGGAGCAGTGGCTTCTTCCTCGCTGAGCGGCCTTTCAGGTTATGTCGATATAGGATTCGTTTTACTGTGGATATAGATACTTTTGTACCTGCTTCTTCCAGCATCTTCACAAGGTCCTTTGCTGTTGTTCAGGGATTGATTTGCACTTTTCGCACCAAAGTACGTTCATCTCTAGCCGACAGAACGCTTCTCCTTCCTGAGCGGTATGACGGCTGCGTGGTCCCATGGTGTTTATACTTGAGTACTATTGTTTGTACAGATGAACGTGGTACCTTCAGGCGTTTGGAAATTGCTCCCAAGGATGAACCAGACTTGTGGAGGTCTAAAAAATAAAATATTCTGAGGTTTTGGCTGATTTCTTTTGATTTTCCCATGATGTCAAGTAAAGAGGCATTGAGTTTGAAGGTAGGCCTGATGTAAATTAGCCTATCAGAAGCTTGTACAGCCATGACATCATTTTCAGGAATTTTCCAAGCTGTTTAAAGGCACAGTCAACTTAGTGTATGTAAACTTCTGACCCACTGGAATTGTGATACAGTGAATTATAAGTGAAATAATCTGTCTGTAAACAATTGTTGGAAAATGTACTTGTGTCATGCACAAAGTAGATGTCCTAACCGACTTGCCAAAACTATAGTTTGTTAACAAGAAATTTGTGGAGTGGTTGAAAAACGTGTTTTAATGACTCCAACCTAAGTGTATGTAAACGTCCGACTTCAACTGTACGTAGGCTGCAGCACCCTCACATGTTTTGAGGGGTTACTGACCTTAACTGCTGTGATCTGTCAATACAGATGTTTCATTTCGCAGCTGAGATCCTCTGGAGTGTGTCTCAAGCTGATACAAGCACAGGAAATATACCTGATCCCTGCATTACTTCACCTGGAAATACTTCACTCTGGCTGTTTTGACTAGCAGACAGTAAAAACCTTCCTCAAGTCAGGACTTTAACAAGACAACATGTATGTTGACATAGGCGTCACTTAAGAGCCTAATAGAACGCGTTCCTTCCTGGTGAAATGCTAAGTGTGTGTTTGTATCTGTGTGTGTGTGTGTGCACATGCATGTGTGTGTGTGTATGCTTACCTGTATGTGTTTGCAAGCGTGTGTGTGCATGGATGTGTGTGTGTATTGTGTCTACCTGTCCAGCCAGGCCAGCAGACTCTTGGCGGCTCCGATGAGCTCCACCACGGCAGTGAGGAAGTCGTTGGGGGGTTTGTGGGAGTTCTTCCTCTCGTACGACGGGTTCTTCCTGCGCTCAGACGCTGAGTTCTGGAGGTTGTTGGACGCCGCTCTCATACGACCCACCAGAGTCTTCAGGTTGTCTTTCTCCACCCCGTAGTTCTGGAAGACAAACAAGAATGTTCTTAGTTCTAATGACGGTGATATGTGGTTGTATTGTTTACCCTAATTGAATGCTCTGACTGTAAGTCCCTCTGTATAAGAGCATCTGCTAAATGACTAAAATGTAATGTAAAATGTGTGGGAATATTCTCATAACACAACAGACATAGATAAAAAAGAAATACACTCAGGTATTTTGATTCAGTTTACGCATAGCCGCATACCAAAGCTGTCATTAGCGTGATGATCATTTGTGCTGTTATCAATTCCGTTCAAAACCACATGGCTTGGGTTCAGCAAACATTGATTATGTCCCAAATGGCACCCTATTCCCTCTATAGTGCACTACTTTTGGCCAGAGTCTCATCCCAGCAAACCAGGTCGCGGCAGATGTTCTTATAACATAAACACTGTCCATTCGTGCTGTTGATTATAGAATGTTTGCATAAAACTTTCGCCTGATGTTGCAAGAACGTTCCTAGAACACCTTTAATCTGATTCTACAATGTTCCATTTAGGGTGCAAAAAACATTCACCTGATGTTGCAAGAACGCTCCCAGAACACATTCTGCCTGTGCTTTAAAGGTTCCCAGAATGTTTATTTCGGTTGTGGGAACAGTCTGGTGGGAACATTGTGGGGACATCACGAAAGATATGTTAAAAAAACCCCCACAAAAACGGCCCAGTTGTGCGGATGATTTTACAATGTTTAATTCTTTGAAGTAGTGCGCTATAGATGGAATAGAAACTGATAAGTCCTCCTACATTCCTCAGGACCAGTCACCATGGCAGCCTGTGCATGACCAATCATCTGACTACAATATATTCCCCTCCACGTCTACCTCAATTACCTCAAATCCCCAGTGTGTTCTGTGAGAAATTGTGTGTGTGTTTATCTGTCTGTATGAACATGGAAACGATTGACATAAATTGAAAGAATGATGATGACCCTTTCACCGACAACATACTTAACCGCTTACACTGTTTGATCTTACGGGATGTTATGATATCTAAACACAGCTCTAAGGATTTATAACAGGCTAACACCTGAAGATCACTGGCCCTGTACCACAGCTGGGGTAGACAGATGAAAATGGCCTTAATTAAGTGCAAAGAATTATAGGATGGGAGAGCCCAACAGTCAGTCATCAAGGTCTGATTGAGATCAAAAGCTCCAATCTCTGACAATCATTAACATGATCGCCAAACACACACACATACTCACTGTACACACACACCCAAGCCACCAGCTAAACAGCTGTTCAGCGCGTTTGTTCCTATCCAGAAGCATAGAAGCAATGAAAACATCTGCAGCCAATGGAATGCCTGTTCCTGTCCAGGCACTGAAGAAGGGAACAGGGAGAGCGAAATAATCTAGGAAGAGAGTGTGTAAGAGAGGGAGGAAAAGGAGAAAGTGTTCTGTCGACTCTGATATGTACAGCAGTTCTGATGAATGGGACACAGTTGGAGAGGAGGGCTGCGACCCAAATGGCATTCTATTCCCTAGTGGAATACTTTTGACCAGGGCGCATATGTATCGGGCCCTGGTCAAAGGTAGTGCACTATGGAGCGAATAGGGTGCCATTTGGCATGCAGTGGAGAGGTGAGGCGGGGGGAGGGAACAAATGATCTGACACCACCGGACGGAAACCGCAGGAACAATGGTGTAATGGCTTTTCCTGAAAGGGATGTGTGTGTGTGTGTGTGTGTGTGACAGGTGGGGGGTGGGGTCACATCTGTTTCCTGAGCACCAGGAGATTTCTCCCTGAGAAAATAAAGCTCTGCCCAGAGAGTCCAATGTTGCTCCCCAAATAGCACCTTATTCCCTATATAGTGCACTACTTTTTTTTACCAGGGCCCATAGTGCTCTGGTCAACAGTATTGCGCTATGTATGGAATAGGGTGCCATTTGGGATGTAACCCATTAGTAACCCACAACCAAGCCCTCTCCCTTACTACTGTATATTGGGCAGATAATGTCTATTCCATCTTATTTAATTTAATTAATTTTAATATTTAATTTAATTTAATTTAATTTAATTTAATCTTACGTTGGACATGTTCAAAATCCCAGTTAATTTCCTCACCAAACCTCTCTTAAAAGATAACAAGATCCGGCACACTACCACCAAAGCACTTTACCCATCTTATGGATCACAGAGACGGACCATGAGACCACAAAATGGGAACAGGGAAGATCTGACACTGCAGAATTCTGGGGGATTGATGGGACCAAACAAAGATGTACAGTAACGTAAACGTATTGAACTGTAGGTTCATTGAACAATCGAGGGCTGAAATAGCAGAACTGAAAAAACACTGGACTAGCACACTGTAATCCAACTGTTAGAGAGACACACACACTTTCTTTGTGACCATTGTTTGTGTTCATAATTGACAGTCACTCTTCTGTTCCGGCCCCAGTCAGTTGCCCTGTGCCAGTCGGTTACCCTCTGCCCTCTACTATTGACTTAGTAAATCCTCACACTAGGGGGTATCAGTCCCCATTCTCTAGTCTGTGGGCCAGACCCTATTCACCCAGACTTCACAATGAAGTTAAAGCACTGATTATACTGTACTCTTCTTTTTCAATTTCCCACAGAAGGGCACTGTATCGCACACTACACACTGAATCTAGTTCAGAGAATGAAGCACTGTCATACAGCACATTGTTTTCTGCACCACTAGCCTGGTCAGGCCAGATCTGTTTGTGTATAGCCAATATGAGTTGACAAGATAGCACAAACATATCTGGGACGACCAGACTAATACAAAACTTTTACATTCAGGTCTGAAAATCCAACCCAACACAGTACATTATTCTTACATCAGCACACAGAGAGAGAGAGAGAGAGAGAGAGAGAGAGAGAGAGAGAGAGAGAGAGAGAGATAGAGAGAGAGAGAGAGAGATAGATGAAGAGAGATAGGAGAGAGAGAGAGAGATAGAGAGAGGATAGTAGATCTGCGCACTGAGAGCATATCCGATCTCTCTAGAGAGGCGCTCTTGCTCGAGAGCGAGAGCGAGAGAGAGAGAGAGAGAGAGAGAGGAGAGAGAGCTGACCGGACATTCCTCCCTAATCCCTGTTTCCTGACCAATGCCAGCCTCTCCCATCTATGGGCCGCTTGGACTGGCTCAAGCTGGGCTGACTGCTCACTAGATAACTATCCCTTTGCCTGAGGGCACAACAAGGGGTTTGTTTGCTTTTGTTTACTGTTTATTCAGGACCCCTCGAAAACAAGATGGTATTTCTTTTAGAGGGATTTATAGATTATTACATTGCTATTTGGGACATGGTAATGGACATTTGATGTGATCAAACCATGATCAGACTACGTGATGCACAGATATTGGATGCATGGATATGAAGCTTGTTGATAATTTGAGGATCTGCAGATCATATACAGTATACGCCTAGGGGACTATCCAAATAAAGTGTGACTAAACGTTATCCTCTGATTGGATATGGTGGACTGGATATTGGATATTTTAGTTCACTAACCATAGCACAGAGCAGGTCGACAGCCTCCAGCACCAGTTCCTGGTGTCCGATCCTGGTCATCCCCAGCTCTAGGAGATCCTGGTGGGAGATCTTCAACAGCTGCTCCCCGTCAATCTTCTCCCGCTCAAAGTACGGGACATACTGCTGTAGGCTGTCGTCCAGGCCTGGGAAAGAGAGAGGGAGAGAGAGGGAGATGGAGTGTGACAGAGAGAGTGGGGTGGAAAGGGAGAGGGAGAGTGAGAGAGGAGGTGGGATAAGGTAGGGAGAGAGAGAGAGAGAGAGAGGGAGAGAGAGAGAGGGGGGGGGGGAGAGGTAAGACAAAAAGCTCCTTTCAAGGACAGAATGAATGCAAGACCTGTTATGATACCACACACGTGTCGAAGAAGTAAACATTGGTAGTGAGTCAATACAAGTCCATCACTCAGGCATTTCTCAGGATAGCACTGTCCAGCAAGAACCAGAATGAAACTGATCTCTGACCACCGTTGATCACACATCTAGCCACAAAGAATTCCACACATTGCAGATAGCAGCGGTTATGACCAGTGGCTATTCTATCACATAGTGTGCTCTCATCTGTTGTTCAGACCTTCTGGCCCAATCGGCATTTGCAACTGGTCCCCAAAATGGCCATGTTTGTTGTAAATAGTGAAACAAAAAAGCAACTGTCGCCATATGTTGCCATTAAATTCCACACAGACATCCATGGCTCATGTTGGCTTGGAATTCCGTGCTACATGACAGATGGCTCACTCTGACACCATGTCCCAAATGGCACCTTATTCCCTATGTAGTGCACTACTTTTGACCAGGGGTGTATTCATTACACTGATTCTGTAGCAAAACTTTTCTTAAACGGAAGCAAACAGAACAAAACGGGGAGGGACCTACCTGAATTTGTCCAAAATAAACACTAAAAAGTTCAACTGTTTGGACTAATGATTACACCCCAGGGCCACGGAGCTCTGGTAAAAATTAGTGCACTATGTAGGGAATAGGGTGCCATTTGGGCCAGACCCCCAGAGTTTACAGAGCAGAGACGCCTCTTAAATAGCCATTAATGTGTTGCCTCCTGCCACCTTTGTGTTAACACAAGCTAATGACTGTATGTTGTTACACTAAAGTACTTTGGTTAATCTGTACACAACCAAAGTAATGTTTCTAAGTGTTTTGACCTTTGGTGGGGATAGAGTCGCTAAATATTAGATTAAATGCTAAATGCTTGGGCAAAGAAATTAGCCCAGTGCCAAGGGGTGGATATGTAGGTGGGACAGGAGTAAGAGATGTTGTTGACCACTTTGTAGTGACAGGATTGAGTGAGAAGAAAACCCTTGGTGGATACTTAAAGAAATCAAAGGATGACAGTGAGAGAGGAGAGGAGTTCTAGGAGGGCAAAGGGAAAGCAAGATGTCAGGCCATGGGCCTCTGATTGAAGCAACAGCTGCATTCTCACCAGGGTTGGGTCCAATTCTGAATTTCTGAATTTAATTCAATTCAAACAATTTTGACTTGGCCACACCCCACAGGAAGTAGAATTTGAATTGAAAGGTCAACTGCCCCTTAGAACCAACTTCTCTGGTTTTAAACGGCCTATGTGGCATCACATTAATTATAGTGTCAAAATGGACTTCAAAGTGTAAATAGGATAATTTTGGTCATAGAGTCAGTCTCATCCAAAACAGAGTTTTGTAAGTGAGTTCATCACGATTTACTGGAGGGTTGGGTATGGATTACGATCATGCCCACTTGCCCAGTGCCCACTAACATGAGAAAAGCAGCCAGAACGTCCAGACAGTGAGACAGACCTGCCCATTACCCAAAGCCTCAGACTTGTTTGCATAAGACAACACATTACCAATGTTATGTTAAAATAATCCTTGGTCCTAAGCCCTTTATGGAGTGGCCACTTGCTGATGTGTTTGATAGTGTCAATCGTTCGAGTCTGACATTTTGGGGGGCTAAATGAAAATTGAGACGATCAGAGCACATTTGTATCCCAACTGCAACCTGCCAATATTCCAGAACCCATTTGCGAGCATCTTGTCTCCCCCCACAACCTGTTTTGTAACATGATTCCCTATGAAACACTGCCAGACAGATGCACACTCTGGTAATAGATAGTGAGAAAGTTGTAAAAAACTAAACGGCTTTGAAGCACACACGTCGCCACTCGCCAGGGGCTTGATAAGCTGATTGTGGCCTGCCTGCTCAATGTGCCTGCTAGCTACTACTTGCTAGCTTCATTGACAAACACAGCGTTGGAACTTAGCTAGCTAGCAAGTACTTTTGGGCACTGATAAACAGCGTGTACTGTAGCTTGTGCTTTATTTACGGTAGTTTGACAGATTGCAGATGAGGTTGTAGTCATGTTATTGTTCTCAGAAATCCGTCCTGAGCGCGCACCCAGACTTTCCCGACCGACTAGTTTTTCATGCAATTTTTTTAACTTGAGAAATACTGCACCAAACACCTTAGCTAGATGTAAAATTGCACGTTTAAGACCTCCTCTGCAAAAATGTCTAAATTAATTACAGATTTCTTGATTTATTCAGAATATTTTAAGGGAGTGACTATTTTGAGGAAGTGGCTATGTTGTTGCTACGGTGACCTAAGAGGGACAAACAACATCACCTGCCAGGGTACGATATGCGAACATAACATACCCACATCAAACCATACCCCCAAGACAACTCTCGTTTGCAGGGTTGCCATGTTCGCAATTTTCCAGAAAAATTGGGCTACTTTGAAAACGATGTTGCGGGTGAAAATGTATTGGTCGCGGGTTGCAGGGCAACTTTTTACCAGTTGTAGGTAGGCTATTTAGATTGTCATTATAGAGACACCTATTTCCAACCCCTTTTCCATAAAACATATTAACGCGCTAGAAATGATATAATGACTTTTAGCGTACTACAGGCTTTAGATAAATTCGCTCAGAGGTGGTTTAAAGTAAACTTCATTCTAATGTTGACTTTTCTTATGGAAAATCGTATCAAGCTAAGGTTTTTACGCATGCTCGGTTTTTGGGTCTCGAGCGCTGCGCAAACGTATTAAATAAATAGCCTATAACTTCAGTTTATTGTTGTTGTAGCCTTGTGTTATTACGCAATTATTAATGGCCATGTTTGGTTAATTAAATTGGAAGTTATCAATTGTGCTCACAGATCTATCGCAAATGTATTATTCTCCACATTTAATGTCAGTTTAATTGTGGACTTTTCCCTGAAATTAGATGTTGTCCTATCAGGGGAATAGGGGATTAGCTCAGCAGACCATGGCAAAGTTGAATTGCAATTATAAACCCAGATTTTAGTCAGTAGCCTTTGCCTATTGAAATAACAAGTAAATCTCGCAAATAGGCCATTTATAACAGTTTGTAGTCTTAACATCTAGAACAGGGTTCTTCAATTCCGGTCCTGGAGGGCCGAAACAGTTCTGTTTTTTATTTCTACCTGGTAGTTAATTGCACTTACCTGGTGTCCCAGGTCTGAATTAGCCCCTGATTTGAAAAACAGAGGTGTTTCGGCCCTCCAGGACCGGAATTGAAGAACCCTGATCTAGAACATAATAACTGCACAATTGCCAGAAAATAGCCTAACAATAGTTTTTTTAAGTTTGTCCAAGTGTTTTTTATTTTTTATTAAATATTTTGGGGGGTGAAAAAAGTTAGTCCAAGTGTTTCTTGTACAGAGATTTCGAGATCCTCTGTCCAACTTTCATCACTCAAACTCTCCTGTCGGATTTAATCTATAGTTATGCACATGCACAAAAAAATTATAATTATAAACTGGATGGTTTGAGCCCTGAATGCTGATTGGTTGAAAGCCATGGTATATCAGATTGCATACCATCGGTATGACAAAATAATAATTTTTACTGTTCTTAAAGTTGGTAACCAGTTTATAATAGCAATAAGGCACCTCAGGGGTTTGTGGTATATGGCCAATATACCAATGCTAAAGGCTGTGTCATAAGAAAAGCCATATAGCCTACCACACCTCTTCATGCCTTATTGCTTAATCATTGCAGTCAAACAAGTTAAATCGACATCCATTGATGGAAAATGATCTGACGAGTTTAATAAGGGTGAATTATCTTTTCTCTTGGGACATAATCTTAAACTCGCCATAACAAATTACGTCGATATGCCTTCTTAATTCGCTCGATAATGTAATGGAAAAAGGGTTTATTGGATAAATGTGGCAAGTCATCTTGTGGACCGGTTTTTAGAGGTCATTAGGCTAGAAATTATAGCTAGACCTGGCAACCCTGCTCATTTGGCTTCAGTCATGGCTGCTAGTATTTCTTAATGAGCAATCCTCAGAACTATGCCAAATTAGGAAGTGCAGTTGCCCTTGAAGGAAGTAGAATTTAATTCAAACCAATTCAACTGAGATATGAAACATGAAAGTCTCATTCATTTGACAAATCCTTTATCTAAACGATATGCCACTTATTAATGAAAAAGAATACAAATACCATTTTAACTATTAGTTTGATGTCAAACTGTGTTTTCTTGTCATGGTAGATGGTAGATTGTTCCCTTCCATATGGAAGTGTCTGATCTAATGCATTCTGGGAAATGTATTTTTTCTGATATTTAAAAACATTACGTGAATTATTAATTATTATCGACAACCCACAACATGATAGAATATTTCCAAAAAGTTGTATTTCAAATTAAAGAGCAATTCGCAACTCAATTCAGAATTGAACCCAACCCTGATTCTCACTCAGCCTAACAGGCAATACAGATATCAGAGATAGTTGATGACAGTTACAATTCATCAGTATGACTTGCAATAAGTGGAGAAAATGACATTTCCCCCCTCCAAAACATGTTGTTTCCAATTCATTTGTCCAGGGTCACTAATTCCATCAACTTGGGTTCGTGATTAAGGGCTAACTAGCGTGTGGGATAACGTTTCAGACACCCGAGGAACACAATAATCTCTCTGAACAGCCAGAGAGCGCTAGCCAATGTCATGCTACACAGCCCATCACCTGCTATTGATAACACACAGGCGAGTCCCAAATGGCACCCTATTCCTTATAGAGTGATGAGAGCCCATCAAAAGTAATGCTCTATTTAGGGAATAGGGTGCCATTTGGGATGCAGACAACAGGCTAACATGTCTTCAGTTCAACTCTATAACATATCC